GTAATATGGTGACCTGGATGCAGTATTCCAGGTGTTTATTGGCACGCATTGCTCATTCAAAGTTACACGGGCACTGAAAAAAAGTGACTTATGGCAGTTTTTCACACTTACAACCGTTGCAGCAACTCCCCAGGATCACGTGATCAAAATTCACCCACTTGGCAACTGACTCATATTTATGACGGTTGCAGAGTCACGTCATCCACTTTTGCGACCTTCTGACAAGCAAAGTCTATGCCTAGCCAAAAATTTTAGCAAAGGGGCCTCTGCCCAGTTGCTGGGTGGGCGTGGCCTAGTGAGCCTCCTGCACCACGGTGTGGGGGTGTATTTTTTACCTCCCCGGGCTCTGGAGGCCCATTTCCGGCCTTCTCAAACTTCCAGAAGGCCCGTTTTTTGCCCTCCCTGAGCCTCCACGCGCGCCCTGCACTTACCTGCATCCAAAACGGGCCACATTGGGACTCCTGGGGGGGGGGGCAGGGTAAGCGGGGCCAGACAGGGGTAGGATTTGGGGGTTCTCTGAACCGCACAGAATCTTAGCCTAGGGACTCTCCCAAACCCCTGCCATCCCCCAGCAGCCCCCCACTCTTGCATCTAGCTGTAGTTTCCAAAATAAGTACTTAACATACAAAACTAGGTAACCAAGACTGACATATAGGGGAAAAGGAGAAAGACACTTAAAGTAATAACATTTCTGTATATATGCAACCAGCTGAAGAACTTTAGACATCTAAAAGCCACTTCTATAAATTGTGAGGGGGGAAAAAAAAGAAAGAAAAATACGTATTAAAGGAACTGAAACTTTCAGAAGCCTGCTAGTTTTCATTTCATAGGACTTAACTCAAAAAAAAAAAAACCCACATCTTTGTTCAAGATTCAATACTGTCCATAAAAAAGGCTTTGTTTACTTCTTAAACTATAAAGTTTGACTACCTTTTACAATCTCAAATTTCACATGCTGTCACTAGAGAAAAAAAAACCAAGGCTTTTTGCCATTAATTTCTATACAATGTCAGATTATTCATTAAAATAGTATTCAGGGTTTTTTGTACGTGCTTCAAGAGAGCAGTAAATATTTACAGCTTCACTGCTGTGCTAGCAAATTCACCCTTTGAATTAGAACTTGGTAAAATCTATGACTTCAATTAAATACAAGGAAAAGTTGACTCAGGGGTGAACGAAGTAACAAAAAACAACTTTTGTAAAACCAATGTTTCGTATGTGAACATATATACCCTACTATATGTTCATATCTATGTCTCAATTTTGCAATCTCTCCTTACAAAGTTGGATGGATGGATGGATGGATGGATGGATGGATGGATGGATGGATGGATGGATAGATAGATAGATAGATAGATAGATAGATAGATAGATAGATAGAT